ACGTGGTCTGCAGATGCACGGCGGCATCGATCAGCGCCGTGCTCTTCGTCGTGCCTTTGCGACTGCTGATGGCGTCGAGGCCGTGCGAGTAGTGCTGCGCATATCGCTTGATATGGCGCTCGACGCGACGGGCGTAGGCCGCCTCGTCCATCGTACCTTCTCGCTCAAGGACGTCGGCCGAGACGGGCTGCACGGCGCAGCCGTCGTCGACGCTGCAGTAGCGATGAGCGCTACGCACTGGCGGTCGTCGCAGAGGATATACTACCTGTGCTCGGACGATGAAGACCTGCGCAGCGCGTCGAGGGCGGCGTGGCACTTCCATGCTGCGTGCGCGAGCAGCGGCGGCTTCTTCGCCGTCGGCCCCGTGTAGCGCTTGAGCGCAGCTTGGCGCGCTGAGTCCAGGACCTTCTGCACGTGGACCTCCATACCCCGGAGGCCGTCTTGTGGTACACGCTGCCGCGTCATGGCGTAACTCCTCGCTTGGTCCCGAAACAGTGTGTCGAAACAGAAACAGGATTTCGATTGCGCATGACCATATCCGGATAAAGCAGGCCGATTGGGACATGGAAGAAGCGCTGCTGGCCCAGGCCGCCGAGCGGGTGGCGGCGCAGGACTACGCGGCAGCGCGTGGCGTCGCCGAGGAGGCGGTCCATCGTATCTGGGACCGGCTGCATCTGGGCAAGTGGAGCGAGGTCGACGTCGTGTGGCGGCAGCGCTTTGCGCGCGCGTGCCACCTCCTCGCGCAGGTCCAGGCCGCCACGTCCGACGCGCCGACCGCGATCCGCACCCTTGACACGGGCCTCCTCATGGCTGGACCGTACGGCCACGACTTGCACGCTATGATGGAGTCGCTCATCGAGACGCTGCCACGTGACGAGACCCTCGTACGCGAACTCCTCAGTACCCGAAGCTCAAAATCGGTGTAGGTCGAGCAGGATGCACCAAAGCGGCAGTGCGTTCGGTCGCGCGAGCACGTAGCGCTCTACCCGCTCCCAGCACAGGCTACGATCATTGAATGCATCTCTCCGCCATCGATGACCGTGTTCCGCGAACGCTACATGCGGCCGCACCGGCCGGTCGTCATCCGAGGCGCCATGGACCATTGGCCTGCCATGGGTCTCGACGGCGCTCAACGGGGCTGGTCCAACTTGCAGTACCTCAAGCGCGTTGCGGGCATGCGCACCGTGCCCATCGAGATCGGCTCGAGCTACTTGGAAGACGACTGGTCCCAGACACTCATGCCGCTGAGCCAGTTCATCGACGAGCACATCACCACACCTGGCGCCAACACGGGCTACTTGGCGCAGCACGCTCTCTTCGAGCAGGTATCCTCCATGCTGGTGACGAGGTAATAGAATCCGTGTAGATCCCTCCGCTGCGCCGGGACATCTGTGTCCCAGACTACTGCGCGCTCCCAGCGTCGGACGATGACGACGAGGACGATGACGACGAGGTTGTCGTGAACGCTTGGTTCGGACCGGCCAACACTATTTCGCCGTTGCATTTTGACCCGGCGCACAACCTGCTGTGTCAAGTCGTCGGGCGCAAGTACCTACGCCTGTATACGCCGGACGCGCAGCTCTACGCGGTCGAGGGCCTCCTCTCCAACACGTCGCAGGTCAAGGTCGAGAACGTCGACGCCGACGCGTTTCCAGCGTTTCTACATGTGCCGTACCTCGAGTGCACGCTGCACCCGGGCGACATGCTCTATCTGCCGCCCCGCTTCTGGCACTTTGTGCAATCGCTCGACGTGAGCTTCTCTGTGAGCTGTTGGTTCGCGCGGCCCACGTCCCCATAACCTGGTAAATTGCTGTCGTTGCTACTGCGTGTACGTCTACTATAGCACAGTGGCACGAGGCGTGGAGAGCTGCGTTCCGTTGGTTCGGATTTCCGACTTGAAAAGCAACTGCAATGTTGACGAGGACTGCAGCGCAGTGAAAATTTATCGTGGGTACGAAACGACTGAACTTGTCTCGCTCGATCCTGCTACTGTGTCATGTACTCGCAACCAAGAGAATCTTTTGGGTGTCGGCTCGCATCTTGCCCGCGCGGCAAGGCCACTGAGGGCAGAAGCCCTCCCATGATCGGGGCCAATTAAATCATCCACAGTTGCATTGCACGTGGTCATCTCGTCGGCAAGAATGCACCTTCATCGCAGCGAAACGGCGCTAGCCCAAGTCCACCTTGAGCAGCTTTCGCAAAGGCGCGCGATTCACGAGCGCTCCATTGCATGTGCGGGTCAAAAGCTGGGCGTTCAGGGGCTAAGTGGTACTATCACTGTACGGATTGTGGCATTACTCACTGGTCCCTACTGGACTGGGGGGTAAACGTTGCCGTTCGCTTACGTGAGCACACGTGATCTGACGGTTCTACTGCAATGGCTAATAAACTCACTTGCAACAAGCGCAACCACAGTGTTATGGCGTCCAGTGGAAGCTGAAGCGTCATCGGCATGCGCTCATCTTACGTGTAGGTGCCTTTTAGAGGCGCCGCCGTGCACTCGGATACTGCATGCGACCGTTCTTCGCGGCTCCAACGTTCGACGTACCACGGCGCATAACGGTCCGCTTGCATTTCCGATTTCTTCGCGCATGGAGCAGAGGTGCAAGTACGCGTACAAGGCCTGCTTCGAGCCTCGGACGCGCAAGCGCAACGGCTCGCTGCACAACTTTTGCGTCTACCACCGCCAGAAAGCCAACATCATCCAGAAAAAACACATCTCCAAGCGCATCCGAACAAATGCGCTGCCCGAGCCCGTTCCGTTTGCGGCCGCCGACGCCGCCGACAGCGCAAGCTACGACGCATGGCCCATCCTACTGTCGCTGCTCTTGGACGGCCCCAGCCGCCTCGACCCGATCGCATTCGATGCAGCGGGCCCCACCGCGATCGACGCCGAGCTCGTCGCGCTCCTTGTCGACCTCGTGCCATAGACGTACCGTATCGTTGTTCCAAATGAATCCACTATACTTTAACCACTACCAGCTACTTCTGCCACTTTCAAGCAGTGATGACTGCAGGGTAGAGACCACCGCCGAGGCAAGCTGCTCGGTTGCGTGAAAATACGCGGGCGTTGTGCAACCCACCACCAGGGAGAAGTAGAAGCCTGTTTTCATCGTCCCGCAACGAGATTGCTGTATATGACGGAGCTTGATGTATTAATAGTACGAATGGATTGACTAGAGGGATAAGAGGACCTGGATCGTCTCGAGGTCGACTGTTGGCCACGGCGTGTCCTCGAAGCGAAGCGGCTCGAGCGCTAGAGAGTCGCTGGGACGAGTCGGCGGCGAGAGATCGGGTAGTGGCGTGAACGACGACGTCCGCTTCAGGACGTGCTTGCGGTGCGATGTATTGGCCTTGAAGCGGTGGAAGGCGCAGAGCTTGTGGAGGTCGCCGTTGCGCTTCCGGTCGCGGACGTTGTAGCACGTCTTGTACGAGTAGTGGCACAGGCACGACGGGTCCATCTCGAATCGGAAACTGCTGCGTCTCTCCTTTCGCTCCCGAGTAGCTTCTCGATGGGTTCAGATAGCAGCTGATGCAGCGTCGTCGGTCAGCGTGCGTGAGCCGCCGCGTTTAACAACTACCACTACACCGTACTTAGCATCGCAACAGCCGTCACCCTCGCCCACGGTCCGTTCATGGTGCACGTCAAAGAGAGCTTCTTGGACGTTCAAGTCGTTGAACGCGTCGCAACCGACACGATGATGACAACTTGTAATCATCCGCTGGGCATTCTGTCGTCGGCTCGGTTCTTGCCGACGATGGGTGGTCCACCAATCTCGCCCGAACAGCAGCGAAGGCGCAAGGGTTTCGAACTGCTTTGGGCGTGAAGTAGTATCTCCGGAACAAACGTAGCACAGCATACCACCTACGCCATGATGTCACCTGACGATGCCCTTCCGCCGCCACCCTCGACGATCTACGGTGGACTTGAGGAGAAAGCTCCGTGGGTGTCCATGAAGCGCAAGAGGCATGAGAACCATCGAGTGTACGTTGGGGGTAAGCGTTGCGCAATCTCCGGACTAGACCGGCTCGAGAGGCTCTCGCTACATCACCCGCCGGTCCCGCGACCAGGTAGTACTGGACACTAAATAGCACGAGCGTCTCGACCGAGTCCAAACATGCTGCTTGATTGGGACCGGGTGACAATCCATCTCTGGGAACATATGCTTGGAGTGGACTCGAGGCCGCCGTGATCAAGGTCGTGCGGCAGTTATTCGCTCGGGCGGGTGACGGAGGCAACCTCGTAGCATGACTGGACGCCGATCGAACGGTTCGACGTACCACGGCGCATAACGGTCCGCTTGCATTTCCGATTTCTTCGCGCATGGAGCAGAGGTGCAAGTACGCGTACAAGGCTTGCTTCGAGCCTCGGACGCGCAAGCGCAACGGGTCGCTGCACAACTTCTGCGTCTACCACCGCCAGAAAGCCAACATCATCCAGAAGAAACACATCTCCAAGCGCATCCGAACAAATGCGCTGCCCGAGCCCGTTCCGTTTGCGGCCGCCGACGCCGCCGACAGCGCAAGCTACGACGCTTGGCCCACACTACTGTCACTGCTCTTGGACGGCCCGATCCGCCTCGACCCGATTGCATTCGACGCAGGGGGCCCCACCGCGATCGACGCCGAGCTCGTCGCGCTACTTGTCGACCTCGTGCCGTAGACGCGTCGTCGTAGCAAGTGAATAAACCATGCTAGTACATTTCTACGACAACGACGGCTGCTACTGCAATTGCAACTGCTGCTGCGACAACGACTCGGACGACTGCAGGTGGCTCTGGCGGCCTGGGCGGCTTAGGATGACTCGTCCAGAGAGGCGGGCGTTTCCGCCGCAGCGTTTTAAAACCCACAAATGCAGTTCTGAGATGGGGTTGTTAGTGCGGTAGCTGGGCTTCGGCAGCTAGGATCTCGGCGCGGACGACGTCGGAGGTCGTGACGCGGTTCAACCAGAGCGAGTGCGTCGTGCACACGTCGCTCTGCTCGGCGCGGATCTCGGCCGCGAGCTCGTTGAGCGTCGCCGACGACTCGCTGAGCTTGTGTTGCTCGGCCACGTAGAGGCCAATCATCGCCTTGAGCGCCTCCATGCGCGCCTGTACTTGCTCGAGCTTGGGACACACGACCATCTACGCATGGATGTGTCACGACACCCTCGAGGCAAGCAGCAGCGACCTCGCGATGGGCCAAACACTCTTCGAGGCACAGCTGGAGGTTCTGGAGGAGCGGCGCGCCCGTCGCCTGGAAGGCAAGAAGGTCTCCCATCACGGTTTCCTCCGTTGTCTAGCCACACAACAGTCGTCGTTGGTGGTCCGAGACATATCGTGATATACCAGGAGGGCGAGATGGTCGCGGAGACGCGCGAGCTCGGCGTCGGACGCGGCGACCTGGCGCCGGCGCGCTTGCGTGGCCACGTCCACGCGCTCGAGCACCGCGACGTGGTAGTCGAGCGTCTTTTCGTTGAGCCACGAAAAGCTATTGTCCCAAGAGAACGTGAGCGTCCCGGGCGCGTCGACGGGGAAGGTGCCGCTGAGTTTCTCGACGCGGTCCAGCGGCTGCACCTCGCGCGCGCCGTCGTCGCTGACAAAGCGCAGTGAAAAGTCCACGTCGCCGCCGACCTCGTCGATGCGGAAGGTCCAGTCGACGACCGTGCCGACGGTGCAAACGACGGGCAGCGAGAAGCTGGCGCCGGCCTTGACGACGACGCCGCTCTTGAAGATGAGACCGGGCTCCATCACGTCGGACGCGATGGCTGCGACGTCGGGCGCCGGCAGCGACACGCGCTTCTCGAGCGCCGCCTGGACCTCTTCGTGGCGGGCGAACTGCGCCCGCGCCGACTCGAGCCACGCCTAGAGTCATCTCAAGACACGCGTCGCAAGTCGAAGAAGAGGTCGTACATTGGCGGCGGCGGTCAGCGACGCCATCTGCTGGGCGTGCCACGCCTGGCGCTGGGCGACCGCGTCCCGCTCTTCGTCCACGACACGCTGAAGGTCTTCGAGGACCGTGACGTGCTTGGGCTGCTTGAGCGCCGCGAGCTGCTGCAGCTTCTCGGTCAGCGTCTCTTGCAAGCTGGCAATCGTGCTCTCGTGCGCGAGCACTTTGGCCGTCAGGATCTCAATGTCCGACGAAGCAGGCATCGAAGCAGCCCGCGGGATGGACGGCGGACCAAACGACGGTAGCGGCGCCGGCGGCGGAGGCAGCGCCGTAGCTGTCGAAACTGGCGCGACCTCGATCGAGAGCGGCTGGGCTTCGTCAACGAGCGCCGCCTGTCCATCGAGCGTTGCCTCGAGCTGCGAGATTCGGCTGGTGAGCGCTGCGACGCGGTCCTTCTCAGCGTGCAATGTGGCCTGGAGGCCAAGGATCTCGTCGGCGTGCAAAGCTTCCAAGGCTTCTGTCGCGCGACGCAGGTCGTCCGCTTCCGTGGCCTTGTGCAGCGCCGCCTTGGTGCCGTCTGGAACGTCGAGTGCCTTCTTGGCCTCTTGCTGCAGCGCATAGTCGCGGTGGATGAGTTCGATGCGCTCGTCGTAGGCAGCGGCCTGCGACGAGAGCTTGGTTTCAAGCGCCACTTTGCCGATTTTGGCCTCGGCGAGGATGGCGTCACGCGTGCCGACGGCGGCGGCAATCGCTGCGTCCTTGGCGGCAAGGGTCACTGCGTGGTTGGCTTCGGCTGCCTCAAGCGCCTGCTGCAGCTCACGCATCTGTTCTCGCAGCGAGCTAATGAGCTTGTCCTTCTCTGCGACAACGGCCTCGGCCAAGTCCAGCTGAGCCGCTGACGCAGCGACCTCGCAGCGCAAGCCCTCCATATCCGCCTCCTTGGCCTCCAAGGCGGCTTGCGCGTACGCCGCTTGCTCGACCGCTGCGGCAAGATCGTCGAGACTCATCATCCCTACATGCATCCGACATGAAGCGTTGCGGATAAATGGTGGCGGTGACGCACGCGTGGTCATTTCTTCGACGGCCATGTGCGCCGCCTCGACGTGCTGCTGCTGGTCGCGCAGCTGGGCTTCGAGGTCCGCGACGCGGGCACTCAATGCCTCGTTTGCATTGCGCATCGGGTTGAGGAGCGCCGTGCGTCTCTCTGCTTTCTTGAGCGCCGCGGCCGCCCGCGTCTTGTACTGGTCAAAGGCTGCCTGGAGCGTCTGCAAGTTCGTCGCGTCGCCGGCCACCACTTGGCTCAGCACCACGTCGCACTTTTCGCGCAAGTCCGACTGCCAGTTGTGCAAGAGCTTGGTCACGGCGGCCTTCTCGAGACGCCAGTCGGCCCCGGCTGCCTGCGCCTGCGCCTTCAGCTGCGACAGCTGCGTGTCGAGACCGCGCTGGCGCTCGGCAAGCTGAGCACAGGTCGTATCCCGCGCAGTGAGCTCGGCGCGAACGCTGTCAATTTCACTGCGGAGTTGCGTCTGGGCTGCGTCGGCACGCTGAAGCTCCAGCGTCACAGCCTGCTCGTTTGTTTGATGCGTGTCGACTTGGCGTTGCAGCGACGCTATCGACGAGGTTGTTTCGTGGAGCTCGTTCCGCGCGGCTTGGAGCTGCAGCTGCAGCGCCGCTTCGCTGGCGCTCCGAGCGGATTGCGTTGCGAGCGCCGTGCTCAGCTGGGCGCGGGCCTCGGCCAACTCGGCTTTTACGTCCGTCGATGTTACTTGGAGCGCGTCGGCTTGCTGCTGCAGGGAATCCGCCTTCGCCGAGGCGTCGCGGAGATCCACGCGCGCTGCTTCGAGCTCAGTTTGGAGTGTTTTCTGTGCTGTCACCGCAGCGTCTCGCTGAGCGCAGACGTCGATGAGCTGCTCTTCCGTGTCGGCAGCTTGCTTCGTCATAGCAGCTTCCAGCGTTGCAGCCCGCGCTTCCGACGTGCTCTGGAGCGACACTGCGCTCTGGACGGCGGCGCGAAGCTCGTCGTTCTCGGCACGGAGCGTCGCCGCAGCGTTCTCGCCAGCGTTGGCTTCATGGAGGCGCGTTTGCAGCTCCGCGTTGGTCGCTTCGAGCGACTGCACTTTTGCCTGCAGCTCGGTCACATGCTCCAGCGCGGCCGATAGCGCATGGCGCAGCGAGTCGTCAGCTTCGGGAGGATCGACCTCGTTAACGCGGGGGCTTGGGTCGCTCGCCGTTGCAGCCAGCGCGGCTTCGAGGTCCGAGATGCGAGTCTCTTTCGCAACCAAAACCTCGTGGGCAAATGCCAGCTTTGCCGTGGCATCGTTTTGCTCACGCCGCGCCTCGTCCAGCGCCGCCTGCAATGACGCGAGCGATGACGTCATGGCCAAGAGCTCGTGCTCCGCGCCGTGCTGTGATTGGCGCTCGGACGCTGCTTCGGACGCGAGCACTGCAGCTTGCTCGTCCAACTGCTGGCGCCACGAAGCTTCGGCGGCGGCGGCCGTTGCTTGCAGCGAGACGAGGTCATCGCGCAGAGCTTGGAGAGCGACTTTGTGGGCGTGCGCTTCGTCGCGTGCCGTGTCTTCTCTGGCGCGGAGCTCACTCGTGAGCGCCTCAAGTTCAGCTCGGGCAGCGTCGCGCTCCACTACCAGCGTTTCGCAGCGCGCTGCTACAGTGCTATATGCGGCAGCGTGCGCCAGCTCTAGCTCCCGCATAGCAGCAGCGTGTGTACTCTCGTTGGCTGCCACGCGTGCGCTGAGGTCTTCACGCTCTGCGTCCGCGGCCTCGAGTGTATCGTCGAGCTTCTGCTTGTACGCTTCGACCGCTGCGACTTGCGCATCGAGTTGGGCCCGAAGAGCGCCAATGTCGAGCGCGTACTTGGCCTGCTCCTGCTCGACGGCGCTGGCAACATGCGCTGCAACGTCAACCTCTGGCGCCGACGTCCCATGGCCTGAGATCTGCTCCAAGGCCGCGATGATGTCCAAGTCGACGGTCACGGCCTCGCCCAATTGGTCGTGGACCCACGTGTGGATGCGCTCGAGAGCGTCGACGCCCGTGCGGACGTGCGACGCGGACGTGGCCAGCGCGTTGGCGGGACCCATGGCCTGCTTCGCCTTCATCTCGTCGCTCTTCTTGTCGAGCATGTTGGCCACCTGCACAAGGTGTCGGATCGTCGACGACATGTGCATCGAGGACATCGCGCCGCTTCGAGGCGCCTTTGCCGCGAGTTGCGTCTGCTGGAGCTGCAAAAGATCGGCGGCTTGCAGTAGCTGGTCGACCGAGAGGAGCATGGCCGCCGACGCCTGCGTTCCGTTTCTCAACGCTGCGTCTTCAGCGCGCTTGCGCAGCTTCTCGGCCGTCGCGCGGACTTGGGCGCTCAAGCGGTCGACGTCGGGCGGACCGCCACTGCGCGGGGCGACCTCCATGCTGCGGAAACAAAAAAGTGAGGTGGGTGCATCTGATTGGTCAAAAATCAGTCGACCAATCGCCTTTCGTGACACGACAATATTGCGTTTCATTGGTGGATTTAGAAACCCGGATAAGGATCCACCAAATCCGGATAACACTGTCCTACGCTCGCAGACGAGGTGGCACTCAAGGCACTAGGAAGCACCCATGGGTGCCCCGGAATCAGGCGTCACGGGCGAAGGCTTTGGGCGGGGAGTGCAGCTGGGCGTGCTGTAGTAGCACCCTGGCAAGACGCGCGTAGCAGTCTGCTTGCGCTCGCCATGAGAAACGGACACGACCGGCCTGGTAATGCGTTACTGCGGCGTCCTCTGCGACGCCCAGCTACCGGTACGCAGCAGGCGCCATGGCAAGCGTGTGCAGAGCCTTGCACTCGAGGCGATAGCTCGAGGCGATCCATCGTCGTCGCCCGCGCATGGACTCGGGGCTCATAGCCGCGCCGTTACGACGGTGGTACAATTCACAAGAGACACGGGAGTGGAATGGCTGCCGCATGGCGCCACGTCGTCCCCTCGGTGCTGGACGCCGCCGTTCGTGGCCAAGTGGTTTTTGGCTCTCAACCGAGTACTTATCGTCGCTGCGACCTTGCATTGCCCGATCTTCGGATCTGACAACCACGTCGTCGATGCGCACCGCGACGCAGTACACGATCGAACTTGTGGCTGAGGGCCAATTTTTTTCGTGCCATCGGAGCAAGCTCAACGATCGTGCCCAAGCAACTGACGCAGCGCCAATATATCGAGATGCTCCCAGCTACGACGAGCCAAACAGCCTTGCAGCGAAT